CATCAAATTTACCGAGATGCAAAAATTACCAAAATGTCACCGCATTTTTTAATTTAATTTTGGTAATCTTGGACGTTGATTTAAACGAGATGAATGACTCAGATTAAACCGCACAACCGCACCTGAGGTGCCCACCCCGCACCAGAACGCAGTTATATATATATATATATATATATATATATATATATATATATATATATATATATGGTTAAGTTGCGGTGTGACGTCACCAATAGTTGCAGAATTATACACCATCAACGATAGGAAATACAACACAAGAAACACACACAAATTGGGTACGCATCACCAAAAATACACCATTAGGTATGAGTAAAAGCATCATACAGTGTTTGAAAATAACCTATTAGGGGTGGTGAGTTATATGGTGTATTTTTTGGGATGTATCGTGTTTTTTTTGGTGTTTTTTTTTTTTTTTTGCATTCCATTGTGGTGTGTTTTTCTTACACTGTTGGTGTATTTCTGAAACCCCCGCTGCATCGCTGCACTGTAAGCCCCGCCACATATGAGCGCTAATATATATATATATATATATATATATATATATATATATATATATATATATATATATATATATATATCAAAATAATTAGCTTTATGCAAATGATAAAATTAAGTGGAAGAGAATTGTTAAATAAATGGGACCACAAATTCTAACACAATTATTGTGTGGGTTTGTATGTATGTATGTGTGTGTGTGGTGGCCATGGTTGACATACGAGTTAAAATGTTAAGCATTGTGGGGCTTCAAATTTGGATTGCCAATCACTCAATATATATTAGTGTTTCATTATATTTGATTATTTGCATTAAAAATATATAGCTGCTCAATCAATTGGCTCCACATTATAATTTATTTAAATTGATATTTTTATGTAAAATTATTTAAAGTAAATTTTAATATTTGATTATGTTATTATATTTGATAAGATTATTTAGTAAATATTTATGTATTCATTTGACATAAAATATTTTTTTCAATATACGACAAGTTTTTCTTTAAGAAAAACGACGGAGTATTGCTCCAAAATGATGAGTAGTCGAGTTGATGGAATATAATTCTCGTATCAGAAGGTCACGAATTTGATTCATGTTAATAACTTCTCGATTGAACCCGACGCTATTACACAATTAATAGCGGAGTTTATTCAATGCACACCCTCGAGTAACAGATATGGATTTATCACCCCAAAAAATGGAGTAATGTTTTTTAAATTAAGGGGCACAAAATTGTTAAATTCATTTTTTTTATGTAACAATAACTTTTAAAATTTGTCCTTTTAAAACGTACAAGTTATTGTACACAAAATTGTTAAATGCATGCATAACATTAACTCCACAAATATCTCAAATGATACACTTAAAATTTAATTATTAATAACTGATTCTTTTTTTTTTTTTTCAAAATCTTCATTATATCTATATTCATTAGATTATTAGTAAAATAACGCGTAGAAATAATTTTATGACATTATGGATTCTCGAATTACGGATTCTTTTTTATTTTTCAATTTTTACTGCTACCTTATTATTATTAAGTGTTCGGGCGGGAAGTTAAAAAGGACAATTTTGTTTTTAATAATAGTATAGATATAGATTATTAATAACCGATTCTTTGTCATTTTTTCGCAAAATATTTATTATATTCATTAGAATAATATTAAAATAATGACGTGTAATTTTAATCTAAATTATAAATAATCGGATCTTTTCATTTTTTTTTTTTTTTTTGCAAAATATTCCTTATATTCATATTCATTAGATTAGATTAATAGTAAAATAACACGTAGAAATAATTTTAGAACATTATGACTTCTCGAATTACGGATTCTTTTCTATTTATCTTTTGTTTTTAACTGCTAACTTTATTATTATTAAGTGTTTGGACGGGAAGTTAAAAATGAGGATTTTGTTTTTAATAATAGTATTGATTGATTGGAGAAGTGACAGAATAATATTGTTGAATAGGAATAGAAATTTTAATATTGTTGTATTATATTAAGAATATGAATTTTAATGTAAAATTGTAGTATGAATAGGAAAGTAGGAAACAATATATTTATTAGGAAGTGTATTACACTATTATACAATACGTAGTATTACGCAAAGCTTAATAGTATATATGACTGTTTTGGGCGGAAAATTAAAATGGACCATTTTGTTTTTATTAATAGTATAGAGTATAGATTATTAATAACCAATTCTTTTCTAATTTTTTTGTGACAAAATCTTCCTTATATTCATTAGATTAATAGTAAAATAACGTCCTTTAATTTTAATCTAAATTACTAATAACTGGTTCTTTTCTTTTTCTTTTTTTTTTCTTTTTTTTTTTTGGAAAAATCTCTCTTACAGCTGTTTTTTTTTTTTTTTTTTTTTTTTTTTTTTTTTTTTTTTTTTTTTGCAAAATCTTCCTTATATTCATATTAATTAGATTACTAGTAAACTAACGTGTAGAAATAATTTTATAACATTATGGCTTCTCAAATTACAGATTCTTTTCTATTTTTCCTTTTTTTTTTTACTACTAGGCTTATTATTATTAAGTGTTCGGCAGGAAGTTAAAAAGGATGGTTTTGTTTTTTAATAATAGTATAGATATAGATTATTAATAACCGATTCTTTTCTTCTTTTTTTTTCTTTTTTTTTTTTTTTTTTTTTTTTTTGCAAAACCTTCATTATATTGATTAGATTAATATAAAAATAACGACATGTAATTTTAATCTAAATTATAAATAACCGATTCTTTTCCCTTTTTTTTTTTTTTTTTGCAAAATATTCCTTATATTCATATTCATAATTCATTATATTAATAGTGAAATAACACGTAGAAATAATTTTAGAAGGCTTCTCGAATTACGGTTTTTTTTTTTTTTACTGCTAAGCTTATTATTATTAAGTGTTTGGACGTGGAATTTAAAAGGAGAATTTTATTTTTAATAATAGTATTGATTGGAGTAGTGACGGAATAATATTGTTGAATATGAATTTTAATGTTGTTATATTGTATTAGGAATAAGGGTCAAATAGGTCACTCAACTGCGCACTAAATTGCAATTAGGCCATTGAACAACACAAAAACATGCAATTTAGCCCAAAATGACTTTGTTTACCTGATGTTGCAAGTTACTGATTTTAAAATTAATTTTTTAAAATAATTTTTAATAAATAAATAATTAAAATATTTTTTTTAAAAAAAAATTACCGGCTCCAGCCGGCTTCATCCAAAATGGAAGATTTTGTTTTTATTAATAGTAGTATAAATCTTTATATCTTTATCTTTTCTTTATATATATATATATATATATATATATATATATATATATAAAGTAGAATTTAGCACAAAATTTTTCCCTCCAAAGTGTGAATGCATTTTGATAGAAACAAGATTAGCACATATGAATGCATTAATTGTGTGGGTAGATGTATTTATACATATTTTTTAAAAGTTATTTTGTGTATTTATATTTTATAAATTATATTATATTTTATTATTATAGCTCTATCTCTATCTCTATCTCTATATATATTAAAGCATAATGAAGTATGAAAAAAAGTTTATTGTGTTCAAATTTATTGGTAAAGTTTTATATTTAATATAATTTGTGTATATCAGGCAAACTCGATGTTGTGGGAGGATAATCCCCCTGCTTTTATTTCGGCTTTGATTGATTAATTTGACTCCACATATATAAAGAGGAGAAATTAGATATAAAATAAATATAGTTCTTACATAAATAATCTTTTTCAAATGAATAAATTTTTTTGTAGAAATTTTTGACAAATATCGCCTGTTATTTTATTTACAAATTTTATTTAAATACGTTAATTATATAATTAAAGTAGTTATTTCAAATTCAAATTCCTTTCAAAAACAAAAATTCAAATTCAAATAATAATACAAGTAACAATAAACTTTAAAATCAACATAATAATAGCATAATTAAACTTTTAAAAATATTAAATATTACATTGTATAGTTATACTTTCAAACTAATTTTGAGCTCAAGAACTCAATTACGTTTTTTTTTGTTTTCACTGCACAACCATTACTTTCTTTACTAATTCAGAGGATGTCAAAAATTTAACTGATAAATTAGTTAAATTAAGAATAGTTCATGCATCAGGATAATTACAAGTTGTATATATAACATTTCCCTAAATCTTAACCCATTCAATGTTTGGTTATTCAAAAAAAAAAAAAAAAAAAAAAAAAACCTAAATCTTAACCTATAAAATATATGGTACAAAAAAAAATTAATACGGAGTAGCATTTACCTAAATCTCATAACCCATGGTAGAATTGTATTCAAATTCTATTCCTTTTCTTATTCTATTCATTTTGAAATTTTATTATATTCTCCTTAGTTGTATTGGTTGAACCAAACATCATGTCAACTATAGAATAAGAGTTTGGCAATAACTCAATAAGTTAATCCGAGTTTTTAAAAATAGTATATTTTTTCCTTTTAAAAAAAATAGTCTATTTTATAATCTCGAGATTGTCTTATATATTTTCGTTAGGTATTATATACTCTATATTTATTCTATTTTTATTTCTTCAGATATAGAAATATAATTTTTGAAGGGTAATTCTTATCGGATAGATTGTCTTATATATTTTCGTTAGGTATTATAATATTTATTCTATTTTTATTTCTTCAGATATAGAAATATAATTTTTGAAGGGTAATTCTTATCGGATAGATTGTCTTATATATTTTCGTTAGGTATTATAATATTTATTCTATTTTTATTTCTTCAGATATAGAAATATAATTTTTGAAGGGTAATTCTTATTCTTATCGGATATTAACTACCTGTCTACTACAGTACTACGGAGTACGGAGTGGATATCAACAACATTATTATTCCTTAATTATGACCTCCTAATATACAATTAAGCGATTAGCCGCGTATTTTTAAGGGTTAAATTAATGGTAAAAAGCGGAGCTCATACATGATACACCCATATATGTACAGTCTCCGTCAACCTTAAATCTTCAACCTTCAACCTTCAACCTTCTGCTTCATAAGCTCAGGCTGCTGTATAAATAGCCGTAAAAGCATTGCTTCCACTCATTACATAAACAATCATCGTTGCATCATATTGCTACTACAATCTCTTCTCTTTCTGTGCGCAAAGCTCACAGATTCTTGAGGTTTCCAACGTCAGAGTTTAAGAAAGAGGTTTCTGGGAGCTTTTAAAGCAGCGGGTAGGAAGAAAGAACAGAGCTTTAACGTTCTTTCCTCTAATTCTCCATTAAAAAGTGAGTTTTTTTTTTTTGTTTTTCCTTTCTTTTTTTGAATTTTTGTTGTGGTATGAATATTGCATGTTTGTTGGTGTGGGCATGTGTGTGTGTGAGCCCCTGATTCCTAAATTTTACTTTTTTGGTGTATTTTGGCCTAAATTTGGAATTGCCCTTTCAAAGTTTCAATTTTCTTGGCAAATTTGGCCTTCATTCAACTCTCTTGATTAGGTGTCTTGTTATGTGTGGAATTTTGGAATGAAGTTTTCTTGGATTTTCTATGTATGAGAGGTGTTATGGAGTGAAGGTTCATAGTTTATTAGTGTATATGGTGAAATGTTAAAGTGTGTGGTGAAGAGATGGCATGTTATTAAAGGTTGAAATCTTGATATGATTTGTAGATTTTGAGGCTTTCAAGGATGAAGAATTCAGTGTCTGACCACAGTTTCTACATAGATAGTGAGGAAGAGGAAGAGAATCAGGAGAAATGTGAAAATGGAGATGGGAATGAATCTGATGATAATTATTCAAATTACTCCAATGATAATGAGAATGAGACTGAGAATGAACGCCAGCACAGCAAGCCCAATTCCTTCAACAATGCTTGGCCTCAAAGTTATAGGTATATTTTCTCCTCTCTTTTTTATGCTTAATTTTTCACCAATATGCATGTATGATAAGATCTTACATTCTCAAGAAATAGATATGTCTTCTGTTATAGGGAGCTAGTTTTCGATTTGTTTATTTGTTGATGAGCTAGTAGCTAGTTTGTAGTCTTGATTCTTGAAATTTTCTGGAAAAACTCCACAGCTCTAATCTCCTCGAATATTTGTTTGCAGGCAATCTATGGATCTTTACAGCAGCATACCATCTCCAAGTCTTAACTTTTTGGGGACGCCAATTAAAAGTATAAGCAGCTCGTTTCTTTCGTCATCACTTACAAGGAGACACACACCCGAGGTGTTGCCTTCAGTTCATAAACCGCTTTTGGCATCAAAAGAACCGGAGCAGAAAAGGCGTAGTTCAAATGCTTTGTTGCCCCCGCTCCCATCCAAGTCATCTTTCATAAGGAAGGGAACCCCTGATAGGAAACTCTCTGCAGTTGCACATGAAGTTCCCATTTCAAACCAAAGCTCGTTCGGACAAGCAGTGCTAAATGGTATCGTTTCGACTACTAGTCTAGTACAATAAATTAAAATTCTTGTTTTGTGTTTAAGAGATTATTTGAGAAACCAATGAGTTATATTATTAGATTAGATCAGGTTATACTAAAAAGTTTGGAACTTGCTTGAGATTATTTTAAATAGTTGAGAATAAGAAGAGCTTTTGTTCCTCTTTAGGTCTAAAAGAGGATTAAATGGTTTTGTGCCTCTACTTATATATATATTTCGGTTGTTCCAAACAGGAATGAATGTTTTATGTGGAGTAGGTATCCTAACCACTCCTTATGCTGTGAGAGAAAGTGGGTGGATTGGGCTTTCGATATTGTTTCTCTTTGCTGTACTTTCTTACTATACTGGGATTCTTCTTCGCAAATGCTTAGACAGCCAACCGGGGCTCGAGACTTATCCTGATATTGGGCACGCTGCCTTTGGTCCAACTGGCCGAGTTGTTCTTTCTGTAAGTCCAATTGAAGCCTTTTACTTCGATGAAAAAAAAAAAAAACTCCGTTTTAGATAATTAAGCATGGCTGCTAACGTTTTGTTTTGCTCTCGTGTTTTTTGGATGCAGATTATTTTGTATGCAGAGTTATATGTAAGTACATCTATCCCGACTTTTCAAGTCCTTTCTTTGGTCCTTATGGCATGTTCGTTTTCTAAGATAAATAGAATTTCTTGTGTCCTAATTGTCCCGATTGAGATAATATTTGGTCTCTATTTGCAGGCATGTTGTGTTGAATATATAATATTGGAAGCTGATAACTTATCGTCTTTATTTCCAAATGCACATTTAAGTTTGGGAGGAATACGTTTAGATGCACACCATCTTTTCGCACTGATGACCACCGTTGCAGTTCTTCCTACCATGTTTCTCCGGAACCTCAGCCTTCTCAGTTATATCTCAGGTGAATCGATCTTGCAGTTGTTAATTAATATCGGGTTTTCACACACACAAAAAAACGAAACTTTTAGCTAAATTTTAACACGAAAGCTTGAAACTTTCAGCTGGAGGAGTGATTGCTTCGGTCTTGGTTGTTTCGTGCTTGTATTGGGTTGGCTTGGTCGATGGTGTTAGCCTTCAAGGCAAACAAACGGCGTTGAATCTCTCCACTCTCCCGGTTGCCATCGGTCTCTATGGTTATTGTTACCAAGGGCACGCTGTGTTCCCCAACATCTATACTTCGATGGAGAAACGTAGCCAATTCCCTGCTGTCCTCGTAACCTGGTACTCCAAAACCTCGCAAATTTGTTTCATTAAAATCCCAAGTAAAACGTTGTGCTAACAACATAATAATTTTCAAAAATGTACACAGCTTTGTCATAGTTACTTTGATGTACATTGCGACGGCTGTTCTTGGATATATGATGTTTGGAGATTTAGCAGAATCACAGTTCACGCTAAACATGCCCACCGAACTCGTTGCCTCCAAAATAGCTGTTTGGACCACGGTACGTCAACTTCATTACCTCGCCTTAAAACTTAAAAGAACGATGTGTAAAGTTTGCAGTTATCATAATTCACTCTTCTGCTTCTTTTGCAGGTCGTTAATCCATTCACAAAATATCCTTTCTGAGTTTCTGATCCCCAAGATCACATTTACTTGTCAATAGCTTTACTTGTGTATATCAATAAACGAGACGTTTTTTTTTTCCTTAATTAGCTATACGTATGCATTAACCATGTTGCCAGTGGCAATGAGTATTGAGGAATTCATACCATCAGATCAAGTCAAGTCCTATATGTACTCAATGCTCATCAGAACGGCGTTGGTGATCTCTACCTTGATCATCGGTCTATTGATCCCGTTTTTCGGTAAGCTTACTCTGTAGTCATTCATGTAATCGTAGAGAACTTTTTCGACCTTAAACTGCTTAAACATTAGTTTACTTTGCCTACAGGTCTTGTTATGTCACTCATTGGATCTTTACTTACAATGCTAGTTGTAAGTCCTTCATCTTCTAATTAGAGTGTTTCTTATGATTTTCTTCTGATAAGCCATAATATACCGATTAATCTGTTTTTTTTTTGGTTTTCAGACATTGATACTTCCTTGTGCTTGTTATATGAGCATAGTGAGGGGAAAAATAAGCTATACTCAGGTATTGTCAGCTTCTACTTCTTTCATACTATTGAACTTTTGCGTTTCCTATAGCCAGTAAAGCACCAGAAGAAGGTAAACCAACCTAGGTTATCTTAGCGGTTGCCCTTAGCAAGGGCTGTTGAGCATATAACCATTAATGTGCAATCCAACTATTAGCTTAGGCTTTTAGTTGAGATGGAACACATGCTTCAATTTGGTATCAGAGTCAGACCAAAGGTTATGGGTTCGAATCTCTAAGTCACTCCCAAGAATTTATAATCTTGTGATTATTAACTCAAAAGTCTGACTAAATTGGTTCGGGTTGTCCCGAGATGTTCTTTTATGATGATTGATGTTTTTTTTTTTTTTTTTTTTTTTGGTTGCAGGCATCAGCTTGTGTAGTTATAATTGGAGTAGGTGTTGTATCTGCAGTTATTGGAACCTATTCTGCCATTTCTGGAATTGTTGAAAGTTTGAGCAGTTGAGATGATGACAGAGTTGAAATAATGTATACTACATAGTTTTTCTGTCATCCCCCAAAAGGGGTTTTTTTTTCTTTTTTCTTTTTTGGGTTTACAATTTAGTCCCAAATCTTTTTTGTTGTTGGCTTTAATTTGACCATGCAGAAGTGTTGCAATGTTCTTTTTCTTCTTCCCCTTTCAATATATTGTACTATTTTGTGGGAAAATATTAGAGTTATGATATCTGAGTAATATACTTATTATTATTTACTTTTGGAGTATGATAATGTATTTTACGAGTTAAAATAATATACTTTATGTGTTAGAATAATGTATATAGCTGTGTGAATCACAGTCCACACAATAATGACATTTAAAAATTCTCTAATGCATACAATCAATAAGAAATATTTAAAACTTCGACAATGACAATTTGAGAATTATGTCCAAAATAGACATTTTTTTGTACACACTAATATTCACATCCTCCTAAATATTCTGTCCAATCGGTAAGGGTCTTTGGGATCGAGAATTCAACTTTTTAAGAGAAGAAATATTTTTCTTCTTTCATATTTGTTAATTTTATATCATTTTTAAAAAAGCTACTCCGTATTTAGGAAGTAAATATTGAAGTGATTTTAGAAGCTTTTTTTTTTTTTTTTTTTCCAATATCTCCTCCAAGGCTCCACCTATTGCATCAAATCAGGCAAGGGCAGTGCACAGTAACACAGACACATGTAAAGAAAACGCAGGCAGACATGTCTAACGTTCTACAAATATCTCCGGCCAGCAAAATTACATATTTAAACACAAAACCCCCATTTTGTTTTCCCAATTTCAATTTGATTAGAGCGATTGCTTGCCCCCCGAATCTTGTAGCTGTTTGTCCAATAAAAACCCATTTTGGAGTAGGAAAAATCGAAGCTTTAGCCAAGTATGGCGAAGAAGGGTCAGTTCAGGGACTCGATGACTCGCCGGCGTCGATAGAGTTGCAACCTATTTCCAGTGAATCTCAGTTCGACCGGGTCGTCGCCGAGGCCCAACAACTCGGTGAATCACTGGTCATTCTATGGTAACAGTCTGCAGAGCCTCTGACTTTCCCCATTTCCTTTTGCTTTGACTTTGTATTGGTTATTTATTCTAAATTTTAATTTTGAGTGACTAGGAAACCACAGTCACTATTCACCTTCACCGGTAAATCTCGTCGTATTTCGATTCTAGCCGGTAAAGGATCAAATTTGGTTACCTATAATTGATAAAGGGTCAAATTAGGTTGCTCAAACAAATAAGGTTAATAGACCGCTTTTATTAAGAACGAGACCTATAACTTTGTGATTATCCAATAAAAGTCTGACTAAACTAACCTAGGTTGTCCATAGCTGTTAAGAAGGCTAATAGACAGTTACCGAGTCAAACTTGTAACATTGTAATTTTCAAGTCAACAGTTTGACTAACTTGGTTGGTTGCCCCCGCTAAATTTTAATTTTACTAATGTTTTAGAGCCTGTAATGTTTTTAGCTGCTTCTAAATTTATTATAGGACTTCAAAATTCATTAGTTTGTGTAAAGTTTGGATTTTTATTTTGTTTTTGTCTTACTAAGGTAGCTTGCAATTGTTTGAGTTGCAGAGTTGATACTTGTGGTTACTACTAATAGGTTATAGACATTTCAAAATTCAAATTATGGAAATGGAGATGAGCTTTTGCAGGTTGTGTGGTTTAGGGAATAGGGATTCTTTTTGGCTTTAATAATTTGTTGATTTGAAGCATTTGGATTGCTATATCATGGCATTGGTTTTTTGAGTAACGAGGAAAACCCACCGCCATTATCTGAGGGTTTGCACAGGGTAAATTTTGTCTTGTGACCTAGCCGACGAAGTACCACAAGGAGGTAAACCAGCCTAGGTTGTTCATAACTGAGAGGCTCAAACCAAATAGGTAACTCCAACTGGGAGTCAAACTTGTAATATTGTGATTACTAAGTCAATAGTTTAACCAACTTGGCAGTTGCCCCCTCTCCCCATGGCATTGGTCTTGACCCTGTCCCAGTTTCGTATCTAATCTCACACGCAGCTCTGAATGGTAAACGTTGGCCTGGATTCCACTTTATAAATTAAGTCTTAGATTGTATTGCAAGATCCCATGTAAACATGTTATGCTTGTATTGTTTCACTAGAGACGTTTGGAGTGAATTGACATAATAGTATCTGTTTGGTTTTCAGGAAGGCAAGCTGGTGCAGAAAATGTATATATTTGAAACCGAAATTGGAGAAGTTGGCTGCCGGTTATTACCCCAGGTTAGGAAACTTTGTTTTGCTCTATACTACATCCAGCTTTAGATCTTTGTTATTGAGTATAATTTGCTACGCTACCTGAAATGTCTAATCATCTTCTGATATGCTGCCAATAACTCTTCAGTATTGTGTCTTGTTGTTTTATTACTAAATGTTCGACTTCAAGAGCAAAAAATATATAAAAAGCATCTATTCTATCACAACATGAATCTGTGGTTTTCAATATGATGTTGCAGTATACGGTTCTATAGTGTTGACGTGAATAGTGTTCCACACAAGCTTGTTGTATGCGCGGGAGTCACTGTAAGCTTCTCCAACTCTTCATGGTCTATAGTTCCTTACATCGTGGGTTCATCAAGAAACCGATAATTTGAAGAATATATTGTCAAAATGTTTTTACTTAGTCTTCTTGAAGAAACCTGATTAGTGGTTTATGTTTTACACTTGCATGTAAATGCATCTTGCTGGGAAAACGGAGCAGAAAATGCCGACAATACAGGTAAAAAAGATGATTTGTGAAAACATAATTTTGATGTGGATTCTATATTTGATGCAACTTGGAACATTTTGACAGGTGTGGAAGGATGGCAAGAAACAAGGTGAGGTGATTGGGGGAAACAAAGCACATTTGGTTGTTAATGAGGTTAGGGAAATGATTGAGAATAATGAATCTGCTTTGTGACATTCTTTACACATACATTTTATAAACAATTTAGCCACCCCTTTTCTACCTCGTACTCCTTATATTTTGTTGAGCAGGAAAATTGTATTTGACAGTTGAATTGGTTTACTTATAAAGGAAAAGGCTAAATGCCTATTCAATATTCTATTTCTTGTGTTACTATGTTCTGTTTCTCTTCTTTTTGCTTTTTTTTTTTGTCAGACCATGAGGTGTCCTGAACAGACCCTAACTGTAAGAGATACATTTAAACCTGTACCATACTCAGACTAATCCCTATTCGCATTGGACCAACCCAATTAAGGGACAAAGTGCTGGTCAGATTGTGTTCTGTTTCTCTTTGATTTATTGAAAGTTGTTCAAAGGTACACTAAAGCTAGTCTTTTGATTCTAAAAGGGTAAATCAATTTAAGTTGTTCATAGTTGACTGGCTCAAATCAAGATAGTTAATAGACAGACACTTCTTATGAGAAATCAATCTTGAAGCTGGGGATATACTTGAGACCATAAAAGGAAAAAAACTAAAAAAACAGAACTACATTTATTTCGGCAGAAAAGGTTTTTGTCCAATGAATTTGAATGATAAAAATAGAGAGCAAAAAGACTAATCAAGGCAAAATTGCTGTACAGAAAGGGGGGAAAACTAGCTAACAATATACACAATCAACTCAGATGGATGCAGCTTTTCCTTAGCAGTCAGTCAGTCTTCCCCAGAGAGAAGAGACAGGGACTTCCTGTGTCAAACTTCAGTCGGGGAAGTCGCCCAACGGCTACTCCCAAGCCACCACCATTTCTTCTTCTTCTTGTCTTGCTCGACTGTAGGGAACTCTGTGAAATAGATGAATCAGATATTCACAAGACAAGAATATATTCATCGAAGATGAGGTGTAGGTAGTGAAGACGATATCGTTTTAAATTACAGAAAAAAAAAAAAAAAAAAGAACACTTTCTATTTGTGTAGGTAGGTAGTGAAGACGATATGTTTCAGTTTTTCAGGTGAAAAGGCTAAAACACTAAATATAAGGTGGCAATAGCATTTCTTGAAATAATGAAGGGTAAGGCAAACAAAGACGTATCATTTCTTGAAATAAAAAGCCATGCCAATGATTGAGAATAAGGGTTACCTCCTCGTGGATATATGGAGTTATAATGTACTTCTGCCCAGAAACTCAAGAAAATAGCTGCAAGCAACAAAAAGGCAATTAACTTGTAATAAAAAACAACCCAAATGTTGTTTTTCTGTTCTGTAAAAGTCTAGAAATAGAATAAAACTATAAAAGCTCAAGTAATCTTGAAGGTGTTCATCTGTTCTCCTGTATCTATTACACTCGTTATTATCCCATTTTAGTTTCTTCTAGCACGTAAGCCTATCATCAAAATCCTCAACACAATCTCTTGAAAGTGTTCATCTGCTCTTCTGTATCTATTACACTTGTTATTATCCCGTTTTAGTTTCTAGCATGTAAGCCTATCATCTAAATCCTCAACACAAATCCCAGGTTTTATGCCATCTTATCCCACAGGATAGTATGCCTCTAAGGACTCTTTGAGAACGTCAGATATTCTGCATTAACTTGTTCTATATCCCATAAAGTTCCTTGCCTCAACACCCTAAATTTTCTTTTACTAGTTCACTTTCCTTAATAATCAGAGATTCAGGTTACATGTTAGACGTACTTCTCTTCGATCTCTGCATGTGAGGAAGTATCTCGATGTAGCATGTATCCTTGAATGATGTGATGATGAATATCTTAAAACCATACTGCAATAGTATTACACTGCAAAATTAGTCAATTGTCCAATATGTTCCACGAGAAGGAGACAAAAAAAAATATTATTATTACAATGAACAAACTTTACTAATGGAATCATTTCACAGTCGAGATCAGGCAAGCAAACAAAAGCAACACAATGAGTTCAGAACACAGTCAAGAGTCGCAAGCATCCCTATATGAAAATCTATTATATGACACGGAAAGCATGTGAAACAATCAACTTACTCCTGATCAATGTTGAAAAAATCGCTAGGTGCCCTCTAGGCGCCTGGGGACCGCCTAGGAGGCCGACCGCCTAGCGCCTAAGCGCGATTTTTGCAACACTGCTCCTGATCAAGCAACCTATATATGTAATCCTTCCTACACCAAGCAAAGAACACCCACATCCCCTGTACCTTGTCTCTATATGCCCAATCTAAAAAATTGCAAGAAAGCTACGAACTACAATACATTATGACTAGTTTGTATACCAATTAGCGTAAAAATGGTCATCATATAATTTTGAAAGTGAATATAACTACTAAATTCTAACAACATCTTCAAAAGTAAGTTGCAGACATTAGTTAGGAAAGATGTTCCGAGTTAATTTTTCAGGCATAAAGCACAGGAGAGAATGAAAGCAGCTGATACCGCATCTGCAGCAGCCTGCAACGTGACATGATCGCCCCATTCACCCGTCCTTCACATTTTAATAGGAAAAACAACATAGTATTAACATGGAGCATTTCATTAAAAGCATAACCAATCAAAGAAACAGATATACAATTTTTGCATACTTGCTCATTTTCCGTAGGTATTCATCATAAGCCATAGGAACATAACTCTTGTACAACTCCGGGTGGGATTTGAGCTGGAAAATAACACAAAATAAAAAAGAAAAGGGAATATATTGCAATTTTAGTTGGACACATAGTCATCAAATAAAGCAAGGAAAATTTACTTTGAAATAATAAAAGCTTATAGCATATTGGGTACTTACCTGCATGACAACTTGTTCCCTTACAAACTTATGATGGTCAGTAATACGATATATTTGGTCTGACAGTGACCGGAACTGCAATAGCACAAGAAATCTATAAAGCAAATGTAAAGCTTAAAGCACAGTATGAAAAGATTCCACATAAGGGACACATATTTTAAATGCTTTTTTGGCACCCCTAGAACTAAAGCACAACAGGAAAAATGAAAGGGAGTAAAGCTAACCTGACAGTTGCCATCTCCTGAAACTTTTAACTCAACAAGATCATATAGCTCAAGCCTAAAAGTAGCAAAAGAAAAAAGTCCATGTAAACAAAGAGTAAGGTAGCATTTTTTTTTAAAAAAAAAAATAATAATTAATTAATTAATAATAATAATAACAATAACAATAAAATTCTAAAAAAAAGCATTTGTTTTCAGGAAAGATTTGGTTATATACTCCACTACTTGATTTCCAGGATATCGCTACCCATAGCATATAACTCCAACATAATTTTCAAACCCCATAATATTTAAGCCTGGTATTAAACCCCTAATAGACAGACTAGTCATTGAATAGAGAGGGTCCAGAAAATGGGTTAAATGGCTAAGAGCTAAAGCAGAAAAATCTCAAGTTTAGATATGGAAGATATTGACAGAACCTGTCCATCAGCCTCTGATGATCTGAAGTAGCTTCATCAACTGAAGGTATTTCTCCATTAATTTTAGGAACATGCTGACAAAGAGAAACAATTGAAAGAGAGTAGGATATTCAATCAATTGCAGACAGGTGGTAGCAACTCGTCAAAAATAGAGGTGTACCCTTTAACCCTTATAAGTTATATATAACTAGTTGACATATAAGCAGATAAGCAATCTCAGTGCACAGATGCAAGCTCAGACTATGGACTCCCTCACTATCTAAATATATAAACATCAATTAATTTGCCAAACTCCAACTACCATTTGTGGCACACCACACATTAAAAACTTATTACGTATACAATATGTTGAGTATTTGCCCCAAGGAGATGAGGTAAAGTAAAAATTTCACAGTCAATTACCCAAAAGAATTAGTATGTCAATATCATTTCCCACAATGCATAAAGTAAGTTCACTCACAGGAACAGCAACCATCTGGGACTGGTTCAATCTTTTGCCCACTTCACCATCAAGAGTAGATTCATCTTCAATCTGGGGCAAAAAAGTTTGACCACTCGGACCAACTGACATTTCACCATTTTAAGAGTTTCATTAAAACAAATTGAATGAAGACAGCCAAACTAAGAATAGACATAGCTCTTATCATTACATACCAAAGTCGCAGTGTCTCTTTGAAGATCCAAGCCAATCTTGAGAAAGAACTGACTCTTTCTGATGTGCTTCCTCTACATGTGAAGATCCTGAGGATTCAGCAATCGCAATTCGTGATAATTCCTCTTGAAGGGTATGAGCAATTATCTCATCGTTCTCCACATTAGCATGTGATGGAACATAGTAATCTTCTCTGTTCAACTCAGTTTGAGGTAAGCATGAAGAACCAGTATAACCTTCTCTAAGCACTTCAGTTTGAGGTAAGTATGAAGTACCATTATAACCTTCTCTAATCAGTTCAGTTTGAGACAAGTCCCTGTCATACTGAGTAATGGTGACAGGAGAACCACCATCATTGATAGAGCAAACATCTATAAGATGGAGACCCCACCGAACCACATCAGGGTCTGGCTCATAACATTTCATTTTATCACACTTGGATCTCTGAAAATAATAAAATATGAACACAGAATTATACTTTTAAAAGATTTAGATGCCAAAACATTGAATTCTGATTCATTTGGTATATAATAAAGCCTTGAAAATAAAATGCAGGGAATTATCCAAATTCTGTATTTATATGCGTTGTACACATCCCATTAAAAGGAAAAGAAAAATCTCAATACACAGTATTCATTCAAGCAAGCTTAGAATAGTATTCATTCAAGCAGAAAACTTCACATTTTAACCCTTCAGATATATAAAAGCATTCTGCTCATCAACTTCCAAATTTTGCAAAATTTTCCTTCCACTCTTGCATATCAAACAATCTTTGAATGAAGCATGCACAGATGCGACAATGAATTCTTTTCTGTTCATGCATAGCTCCGTACTAAAAGAAATCATCTTGGCTAGTACTACTAGAGGATAAAATTACTTCTACATCTAAATATTTAACCTGGCAAAAAACAGAAAACAAGATAGCCTGCAGTGTTTTATAGGACATGCACAAACTATGACCTAACTTCAGTCCTGTATTTTAGAATGCCTATTATAATAGATTTCAGAGTTAATTTCAATCAAATGTTAAATCTTGAAAAGTTTTCCATGATTCAACATCTAAACATGAGACAAATAAACATGTTAAAAGCACATTTATAGAATCACAATCCAACACAAAAATAACCATAGTATGATCACGATCCTCATAAAGTGGAAGGCAAGAAAAGAACTTCAGCACAACATTAACAGAGGTCAAGAAATCTAGATCACAATACAACATTAACAAATAAAAGGTAATTAGCACATGACATTTCTCCTAATGCACGCCATCAAATAAAATACAGCCCATTGAGATCAAGGGGGAAAAAAGAATTCTAGTCAAAGATTTAACCTTTAAGAATGTATGCTTTATCATCCAACCCCTACAATCTATTCCTTAAATACCAAAAATAATTCAAATAGGAGCACCCCAAAAAAAAATTGTTAGCAACAACAAATTCACCTTGAATCAAAAACAACTTTATCGAAAACCCTAATCTCAATCTTAATGTGATTAAAAATATATATATTTTTACACGGAACCCAGATGCATCAGCCAATACACACAAGCGCGCTTCTTTTTACAGGACAGAATCCGATACGAACCTCAGTAATTCAGGCCGTAAAAATGATCCGATAAGGCAATATCTTCAGGGACGATCGATGAAGATTGGTAAAAAGTAAAAAAAACGCAGCGATAAATCTACGGTTATCAATCTGCTTCAGAGCCAAAAAGATGACACGTCACAATATCAAGAAGCGGGCGTGGGAGCAGTCGGAAAGTCGTAAAAGATGGATCGTTGTTTAATAAAACGGACGGCGGCGTTTCCAGGCCGGACGGTATTTCAAGAAGTCGGTTGAGTGGGGCCCGATTCGTTCCGCTTCCGTCGAAGGTTGTGTAACCGACTTTTTTTGATTTTGGCGCTATGGATATTTATGCGGCGAACCGTGAAAGCGGCACGTGGCGGGAACGACGGTTGGGATGTACTGGGAATGTCTTGGATGAGGAGTTGAGACGGCGTCGGATTCTGCTTTCGCTTTGTCGACGGATGCATTAAACCAAACCCATTGGAATGCGTGGCGTGACACTCTTAATTGAGATTTAAGTAGAGTATATTCCATTTTTTTATCATTTAATTATATTGATTTTTTATATAATATCTTAAAACGATTGATCAATTAGGTCCAAAATATTTGTGCGTAAGCATTTAGGGTTTAAAAATTACAAGTTGAAACATATTTCGTAATTTACCTATTTCATCACTCTTCAAGGTTGAAATGATGAAAAATTCTAAAATTTAGGATTCAAATTTATCAATTTATTCATAAATTTTGTCTATACAAAATTTAATTTATTTAGTCTTTAATTTTTTTGATCAAAATAGCCTATCAACTAGATTGCGTCACTCGCCATAACGGAATAGCCATCCAAGTATCCTCAAGTAGCTCCTATACAATAATAAAATGGTAGTTCACAACCAACGCACCCTGATCATTTATTAGTCTTTATTTTACTATCCCATATGATTAAAATGAGTAAATTTTGCAACTTAAAAATACTAGTTTGACTAAATTGATACTTAAAGATTAAGAAAAAATACAGAGTAACAATTGTTGTCCATTAAGTCATAAATATAAGTTTAGTTTCTAATTATTTATAAATTTGACCGTTATTTATTTTTATTTTTTGGAAATAGACCCTTGATTATTACCATAATGATTATTTCAGCATTTGAATGGCCAAAATCACCCCTTGTTAAATTTGGCACAATAATTTTTTACTTTTCTTATGATTATTTAATTTACGTATGAAGCATGATGATGTTCCAACACCCCTCTTGGGTTGGTACCCAAAAAAACAATGAATTTAAGGATAACCTTAGCCACATATACAAGCTTGTAACAATACGGTCACCAACTTAAATCTTAATCCGCATGAACAGCTCAACAGATCATAATAGTGAAGTTTGGAAAAAATGAGTTTAAATCTCAACCTTCGTGGTTTGAGCCGGTTAGTTATGGGCCAACTTAGACTCATTTACTTCCTTATGATTTTTTACTGGCTAGGGTCGCAATATGGAATTTACTCGGTACACACCATTAGATTGTGACTGCAGGTTTTCCTCGTCATCCCAAAAAAAAAAAAAAAAAAAAAAAAAAAATTCAAATTGAAGACTTAATCCACTTTAGATCTTTTGATTTTCTAAAGTGCAAAAGTAACAACTACAATATGAACATAATTGTCATTCCACTTGATGGAATTAATTAACCCGGGGGTCCGTGTTAATTAACCCAATTAATAAATAGACATTTCCATGGAGAAAATATGAATGATAAAAGGATTGCAGGGAATTAATACATAAGGAATAAATAGACAGGACACAAAGATATTTAACGTGGAAATCAATACGGTGAAAACCACGAGCCTTTTTGGGCTAAGCCAAGCCGAAATCCACTAGGTTGTAGGTGTAGTACATGTACATAAATGGCCATAGCCATGGAATTGGTTGAGAGAAAGAGTACGTATAAGAGATGTTTATATTTGAGACTGGCCCCCTTTTGACTGCAGCCCAAAATCTTTATATAATGTCATTCTTGTGCAGTTGTAACTTCCTGTAGCCTTCCCTATTCTCTTGCCATGATGACCTCTTTTCTTTGACTAATATATTATTATTATTATTATTATAAAAAAAAAAATAATAATAATAATAATAATAATAATATGGCATGCATATTATATTATTCCATCACCACTATAATAATGACAAATTACACATAAGATGTAAATGGAACTATGAAAATCATGTACAACAAATTTTACTAAGAGGATTTTGATAAGAATATAATCAAACTTATAATCTTCTACTATACTATAACAATTATACTACATTCACTTAATCATCTCGATATAGAAAAATCATAATCCGATCCTTTGTATGCATATCAAATCACTTGTGGAGTAGCTAGACTTTTTAAGAAATAGCATGATGACCAAGACGACAACCACCATGATCACGACCCCCAAATCTTATCATCCAAGTAAATCATGAGTATTAAGTAATTTATTCACTATTTCAGTCAACTTATTAAATTATCCAATACTCACTTATTTCTCAAGTCATGTGTGAATATGTAAAGCAACAAATGAAAATATGAAACCAATATTTGATAACAAACATGTTATAAGTAAAATGGGGTAAATATATTTCTTTTTTCGCACCGATATTCAACATATATATATATATATATATATATATATATATATATATATATGGTATTTTCGTTTTTTTACTGTAAATATTTTTAATTAAATGATTACGATATTCACCATCATTTAATTATACACGTAATAATTTATGTTATATATATTATGAGTGGAACTATATGTTGATAGCACTTTGTACAATGGTATATGGTATACATAGATGTAAGAAGTGTTATTGACATTAACACCAATAATATTTTGTTTAAAAAAAAAAAAAATTAAAAGAAGGGATCAATCCAATCCCGAACTAGCCGCGTCCCTCATAAATCCAATGTGAGTTAGGTAACCCCACGCGATCATCACTCAAAGCTTGGTCAATATGTTAGGGTGGTTCATCAAGCTCATCCTAGCTCCTTCTTGTTGTCTCGCAATACCAATAATAGTATTTAATACAATTAAATATTTTGTATAATATATATCATTGTATAGAGTGTTATTGGTACCATAGAAAATTTGTATATAACAATAAAGGGGGAAAATGACAATAAACTAAGACAGTTAGGCACCTAGGACTAGGCATATGTTGTGACTTCAAACGGCACCTTCATTTTTTTTTAATTACCAAATATTCAAATATTTAATTATAATTGATGGCTTTATTGGACTAACCATCATACAATTGGACTAAATGGACCGGATGTTGGGCCGCTAATGCCTTTTGACCAATAATAATAAAATTATAATAATACCCAAGGAACTTGTGGTCCAATGGTACCAAGTTACTCTCTTATGTGAAAAGTGATGGTTTCAAGTTTTGGTGGAAGTGATTATGACTTACAAGTGTCTATATTTAGATTTTGAGTGTGGGAGTAAAAATTGAGAATAGAGAATGTGAGTACACAATATTTACGCATCCAAACCCAATAAAGGGGATATTACAAGTTTCATATAAGATAAGTTTCGTTGATGGTTTCTTATTGTATGTCGCTGCATCCCAAGTGTTGATGGTTTCTTATTGTATGTCGCTGCATCCCGATTGAATAATTTAAATGGGCTCAAAATCTTTTTTTTTTTTTTTTGGAAATCAAATGAACTTCATTAACTTAAATCAGTACAGAGTTCGTTAACAATACAAGAGGGAGGAGTAGACACCCACTCCTGACGTACAGACATAGAACAGGCTTCCCGAGCAAGATTGTGGGCAACACTGTTCGCAGTACGATTAACATAAGAGATAGCAACGCCGGTAAGGGAACGAAGCATATCGATAACATCAAGAAGCACAAGATCGCATGAAGACACTTCTTGAACATGGTTGAGACTCTGGACAACCAGCTGTGCGTCACATTCAATCTGCACGTTGTGGAGATTTATCCTCTTGGTCCAGCTCAAAGCCTCTCTGATGGCCATGGCTTCTGCCTCCTTCGGTGATGAAGCTCCTTCACCTGGAATACTTGATGCCGCCACGAACTGCCCGCAATCATCTCTCAAAACCCATCCGAAGCCCACACGGTTATTCTCTAAATCAATAGCAGCATCAGTGTTCAACTTCAGGTAGCCTGGCATTGGTTTCTCCTATTTGCGGATAACTGGTAATCTTGTATTAGCGATACTAGATGCTTGTTCTAGAGCTGAGTTCCAGTCTGCCAAGAACAACTTCGTAGCCTCAACAAGTCTTCTGCTGGTGGTGATCTTGTTATTCCATATCTTGTTGTTCCTCGCAAGCCAGATTCTCCAACAGATCAATAGCAGAAGACGACATTGATCCTTATCTAGCATGGCCACATGGTGGTCGACCCAAAACTCAAAGGAGGGGAAGACACTGGTGCTAACTGGAATGCCACTAAGATCCCAGCACTCCTTGGCGAAACTGCAATTGATAAAGAGATGTGAAGTTGTCTCCTCCTCTGATTGACACATAGAACAGCAATACTGGCAATCAACCCTTCTGGAGCGCAAATGATCAGCTGTTGGGAGGCATCCTGAGCAAGCTTGCCACGCGAAGACCTTGACTTTTCTAGGAATATTTAGTTTCCACATGGTAGACCACTTCTTCTTGTTGATAGGATCATACTGAGTAGAAATTGCCTTGTAGCAACCCCTTACAGTGAATATGCCATTCTATCATCATTCCAAATAAGTTTGTCTTTTCTCGCAGCGATAGGGAGGGGAGTACTTAGAATTAGATTTGCATCCCGTTCCCCAAAGATATCGCGGATAACATCAGCATCCCAACACGAAGACTCCTCCCTAATCAAAGTAGATACTGGTGCGTTCTCAAGCAGAGGGAAAGGTGGTGTCTGCACCATTGCGTTTGTTAAGCTTGGCAGTCATTTATCACCCCAGATTCTAACTGATCTTCCATCACCAATTCTCCACCTGGTATGGCTGCGAATTATGTCCAAGGTTTCAACAATACTGCTCCATATATACGACGGGCTGCCCCCTTTTCTTGCTTCCAGAATAGAACAATTGGGAAAGTATTTTGCTTTATACACCCTTGCTACCAATGAGGCTGGGTTTTGTAACATTCTCCATGACTGTTTAGTGATCATAGCCAAGTTGAAATCTCTCATATTTCTGAAATTGAGGCCGCCCCATTCTTTTGGGCAAGAGAGGTGTTTCCACTCCTTCCAGTTGATACCCCGTCTGCCATTGCATTCCCCCCTCCACCAAAACGAATTCATGGTTCGTTCAATGTCCCTAATCAGTTCTTTGGGCAGGAGAAAAAGACTCATCGCATGTAGAGGAACAGCCTGGATAACATTCTTCAGCAAAATCTCCCTTCCTGCTCTAGATAGAAATCTGTTTGTCCATCCCCTCATTCTTGTGACAATGCGCTCCTTAATAAAACTGAAGATGTTCCTTTTGTTACGACTAATGATAGATGGGAGTCCCAGGTAGCTGCCGGCTGCACCATCATTCCTAATCTGGAGGATATTCTTGACAAACTCTCTCATGCCACTGCCAACATTAGCACTAAAAAACACGACTGACTTATCATAGTTGATAATCTGCCCGGAAGCCTGACCATAGTAATCAAGAGCCTCTTTCAACGCCATACTCTCCTGTTGGTTGGATTTGATGAAGAAAAAACTGTCGTCGGCGAAAAAGAGGTGGGATATTCTCGGGGCTTCTCTGGCAATGGCAATACCATGAATGATGCTTCGAGACTCCATATTGTTCAGCATCGCGCTTAACCCTTCTGCAAGGAGAATGAATAAATATGGGGAGAGAGGGTCCCCCTGGCGAAGGCCTCTCTTGGGCAGAATGTGGCCAATTTCCTCCCCTTCCTGAAGAACACTGTAGGAGACAGTAGAAACGCAATGCAGAACCAGGTTAACCCATTTTACATCAAATCCCAGTTTGAGCAATATAGCCTTTAAAAAAGGCCATTCTACTCTATCATAAGCCTTTGAGATATCCACCTTGATAGCTGCAAAACCTTCCTTCCCTTGCGTTTTCCTCCTCAAAAAATGATGTGTCTCGAAAGCCAACATAATATTGTCACTTATGAGCCTTTGTGGAACAAAGGCACATTGATTTTCCGAGACCAAGGAGTTAAGCAGCGGCTTCAAACGGTTGGCGATGACTTTTGAAATGATCTTGTAAGAGACGTTGCAAAGGGCAATAGGTCTTAAGTCCCCCATCGTTTGTCGATTGTTCTTCTTTGGGATAAGAACAATATGTGTATGGTTGATCCCGTATGGCAGTGTACCGGAGGCAAAGAAAGAATTACAGAGATGAACCAAGTCATTACCTAGGATGTCCCAATAAGCTTGATAGAATCCCGGATTAAAGCCATCCGGTCCCGGAGATTTATCTTGATGCATGCTAAAAACGGCCTACTTAACCTCGTCATGAGACACTCTACGGAGAAGGACCGAGTTCTGGCTACTAGAGATTTTTGGTGATAAGCAGTTGATGACCCTCTCGGAGTCTCCTGGGCTGCTGGAAAAGAGATTCTGAAAGTACGTGGATATGAGGCTGTGTAAGTCTGGACCACGATGCCTCCAAAGACCTTGATCATCCATGAGTTTGTATATTCTGTTTGTCTTCCTTCTACCACGAACAACATTATGAAAGAACGTAGTATTTGCATCTCCTTCTCTATACCAAGACACTTTGGCTCGTTGTCGCCAAAAATCACTTTGTTGTTTGAGGGTGGCTAGATAGTTTCGTTGAGCTTCACGGAAAGAAATCACGTTGTGATGGTCATGCCTCTCACGCAAGCTATCCATCTGTTTCCTGTATCCCTCAATTTTCAAATTGAAATCCTTGGTCAGATCCTTGCCCCATCTCCATATGGCGTGACTACACTTGTTCAGCCGTAAAGGAATTTCTTCACCTCTGGAATTCTCCCATATTAAACTCAGCAGCTCCCTGCATCTGCTCTCCTTAATCCAGACATTCTCAAAACGAAATCTCCTTACTCTGTTACCTCTAGCAGTAGGGATAGGTGTTGCAATAAGAGGCAAATGGTCGCTAGACGAGACATCTTCGGAGATGGCTCTAGCCATGTCAAATTTTTCGAACCAAGAATCATTTGCTAGGATCCTATCCAACTTTTCCTCGACCCAATTTTCCGTTCCCCTACCTTTTTCCCAAGTGAATTGGTGGCCCTCGAAAAATAGTTCCCTGAGACCCGCACTGTCGACTGCATGACGAAAGCCCCTAAGGAGCCATTCGGGATGAGGGTGTCTGCCCCTTTTTTCGTGATGATGAAGGAGATCGTTGAAGTCTCCCATAAGCAGCCATGGAAGGTTACTACGAGTCGCAAGGTTGGTAAGCAAATTCCAGGACTCCACTCTTCTCGTTCTATCTGATATACCATAGAAACCAGTAAATCTCCACTTAGCGTCACTACCCTCCAGTTGGATCTCAGTGTCAATGTGGTTTAGGGAGGAGCTAGTAACAGTAACCGTGATTTCTTCCTTCCATAAAAGTGCTAGACCACCTCCCCGGCCCACTGGATTAACCGTAAAACAACCATGCCATCCTAGTCTTTGTTTAATACTCAACATATTATTGCTATTTGAATAGGTTTCCATAAGAAAAATTAACACAGGCTTCCTTTTGTGGACAAGGTCCACTAAAACTTGAACTGTCTCGGGGTTGCCTATGCCCCGGCAGTTCCAGGATAAGAGACTCATTGATCTAGGCGGGCCTGGTACACAGGACCCGCCTCTAACGAGTTTTTTTGCTCAATGGAAACCAAAGAGTAATCCACCATCAAATGATCATTCTGGGCTTCCTCACAAGAACGGACCATTTTCCTTTTCCTCATGTCTTGCAAGGTAGGCCCAAAGCTGGCCTGTTCAGAGTTTGTGTTCAAAGAGACGGTAGAGAGCATTAAATTACCTGCAGACGCATGCTCCTCCATTAATGCTCCTGACATGCCATCCGTCTCAGCTTGGGACCTTGTGACCCCTGGATAATGCTCAGCAACACCTTTGTTTCCCGATATTCCCCCATGCTCAGAAGCGCAACTGTGTTCAGCAAAAGGAATTCCAGTATTTGCCTCATTGGTCATCCGCTTCGGAGGCTCAGACAACAGCCATCTGTGTCCGGTACTCTGTTGAACACGTCGACCGGTGGCCCTCAGTTCCGGTCCATAAGGTCGAACGGTTTCCTTGGTAACACCTTCAAATTGCTTCTGGCAATACTTCTCATTGTGTCCAATGATTCCACAGAGGAAATAGAACCTGGTGAGGCGCTCATATTTGAATTCAATGTAGAACACGTCGCCTTTAGGAGGTTTGACTTTCATTTTCCGTTTCAGAGGCTTGGTGGCGTCCAGTCTTGCTCTCACCCTCATGAAAGGTTTCCAGAGGCCATTCATGTTGATAGTGTCCAGTTTGATAAACTCCCCGACGAAATTTCCAATAGCCTCCGCCATCTTCCTGTTCTGGAGGCTCATAGGAAAGTTGTGAGCCTGTACCCAGAACTCATCATAGTTAAGACAGATGTCGAAGGGTGATTCATTCTGCTCGACCCGTTGAAGCAGCAGCAAGCTTTGTTCAAAGGACCAAGGACCGTCCTCAATCACCCGGAGGAGGTCAACCTCGTGGAAAAAATAGAAGATGAAGAGGTTATGGGACACTTCCCTCGCCATCATACCCCTGCTTGGTCTCCAAATGGATGCCATCGTCTCCTTAAAATATTTGAACTTAAGAGGTTTCTCGGATGCTAGTCTTCCAGCAAGCATGTAGGGGTTTCAATGAAAAGATCCTCATCGCTATCCTCCTCAGCAAGGAATTCTGTCTCCTCAGCGACTCCCAGAGTCATCGCAGAATAATCCAACTCCATGTGCACTGTCTCATTGCTAGTTGAGGGGAAGTAGAAAGGAAACTGTTTGGTGGGACAATGTAGGTTGTTCTCACTGATGTTGATGTAAGGAAAGCTGAGTGGGGTGACGGGAGTAAACAATGAAATACATGAGTGGTTCTTAGGTTGGTGGAAAGAGTAATGACTACCATTAATGCTAATCATAAAAACATCAATAACCTCCGGAGAGAGACAAAAACTCGTTACCGGAACGAGGAGGAGAACCCTACACAAGGAGGGAGGAGCCGTGATGAGATTTTGTCTTTCAGTTTTTGGGGCTCAAAATCTTGATTTGTGGTGAATCTGGAAAAAAATATACTTCTACTACTAATGTAATTTACAAAGAGGTTTTTAATAATTTGTAATTTACATTTTATAAGTAATAACATACGTCAATCATCTTGTGCTTAGATTGCATGTAGTGACTTCTCCATGTGGGGTTATAGATCAAAACTCAGTGGAAGTGTTGACAGATACTACAATGTAATAGAGTTAACATACAAATCGTAAACTATAAATTTTATTCTCTTTCTTTTATTACACTTAATATTTAATTATATAAACGTAGATTGTGCATCGCTGGATAATATCTAGTAGTATTAATATGACATATTGACATCCTTTTAAGTTGATAACCTACCAAAAACAAAATACAATGTCCTATTATATGCTTTTGATCTGGAGAAGAAGATTTGCCTTCGATTGCAGACAAAGAGGTGACCCTCTATGTCTCCATATTGGAGATGATGAAGAGGGAGCCTCTTCATGTATATCCTATAATAGGACAACTTGAATTTATAATATTGTGGTTATAAGTTAATTTTCAAACCAAATCAATTGAGGTTGCCTCTAATATTATGTCAATCTTAAAGTTATACATAGATGATATGATAACTAATTTTAAAGAACGACTGATCAATAACATGATGCTCTATATGAGTTTTTTGCACTTTTGGTCTCACAACTATGGTGTCATTAACAACTTTGATTCACGACTTTTAAAATTTGTAAAATCGGTCTACGACTATGACTTTCTTAACAAATTTGGTCCTTTTGGTACATTTTCCGTTCAATTCTTGTTGAAAAATTTTACTCTCCATTTTAACATGTATAATATTGTCTTTTCCATCTCACAAACTAATGACATAAATGATTAATTAATTAATTAATGTTGTTAGTGACAACCTTTGTCTAACGGAAAATGGGGAGGATGATGAATTTGCCCATATTAACGGAAAATGTGAGATGGAAAAGATAATATTACCCATGTTAAAATGGAGAATAAAAAATTCTCGGAAAAAATTGAACGAAAAATGCACCGGAATAACCAAATTTGCTAAGAAAGTTATAGTCGTGGACCAATTATACATATTTTAAAAGTTGTGAATCAAAATTGTTAGCGACACCATAGTCATGGAACCAAAAGTGCAAAAAACCCAGTTCCATATCAAGTTAGCAACTATACCCCGAACAATACACAAGTGTACACGATACTATTACAAATCATTTAAATAGTGTTGAATATCACTAAAAATTATTCCAAAAATATATAGTATAATTAGAAACTATTCTAATAGTACACGAATGTCAACATGTTTTTCTATTGACAATGTAAATTTATTTGCAAATTTTAATACTTTTAACTCACTAAAAAGAGTAGACAAATTCCTTGCCCTTAATTTGCAATTTGTAATCATTTAATTTGTACAACTTATACAACGAATATATTTAATTAAAAAATAATTTGTCACTGTGATTCAATAACTTATTACCCTTTCACTCCTTCAGCATCCCAACTCTCATTGTTTTCCAGCCAAACTTCTTGCATCTGGCTATATGCTCTACAAAACTTGTGTTCAAACACTTAACCTTAATTCCCCCATCGCCATCTTCGCCGGCGGCACTACAGCTCATCTCCGGTGCCGGTTCAGGACTTTCTGCTTCCACCACCCGGTTCACCATCTCCAGGACCCAGCTCATTTTAGGCCGATTCTTGGGGTGTTTCAGCAGGCACCTATTGGCTATGGCGGCCAGTTTCTGAGCCGATTTAATGGAGTATTTCCCCTCGAGACTCGGATCCAAGATCTTCTCGAACTTGCTTAAGTCCTGGGTAATGTGCGGCCTGACCCAGTGCAGGAGTTTCTGTTCGTTCTTGGGCCGGTTCCGGTCCATCGGCCTTCGACCGGTGATGAGCTCGTACAGAAACACGCCGTAGCTCCAGACGTCGCTCTTGGCCGTGAGGCGGCCGGTCTGGATGTACTCCGGCGCCGCGTACCCCACCGTGCCCACCACCGCCGTGGAGACGTGGCTGATCCCGTCAGACGGGCCCAGCCGGGCCAACCCGAAATCTGAAAGCTTTGCATTCCACTGCTCATCCAGCAGAATATTGGATGATTTGAAATCCCTGAAAATAATCTGCAATCATACATATGTTACACACCTTCTCCTCCAAATAGACATGCATGCATAAATACAATCATTATTGTTTGGACCATACTGTTCCAAAAACTAATTAATCAAATCAAACAGCTAATAGTGATCAAATAAGTCAAAATTAACTGATAAATCAACATAAAATTGACTGATAAGTCATTGCTGAAAATTATGAAATTTTCCACAACCTGAAAGTAATCAAGTCAAAAGCCTTATTCCGACCAATTTTGATATCTGAAAAAACCTTTGTTACTATTTTCGACCACTTTTTACTTTCAACTTGATTTAAGATCACTTTCAGGTGGTCGGAAATTCAATAATTTACAGCAGTGAGTTAACCTAATTTTCTATACCTGAAAGTCCATTCCTTCGTGAAGGTATGCGAGGCCACGAGCAGCATCCTGGGCTATCTTCAACCTTGCAGACCACGGCAATGGCGAGAGGAAACGACTGGACAAACGATCCTGCACGCTCCGATTGGCTAAATATTCATAAACTAAAAGGCGCTGGATTCCTCTCTCGTCATCTTCCGCGCAGTAGCCCACGAGCTTCACCAGATTTGGATGGTCAACTACTCCAAGAACATTCACTTCAGTCACCCACTCTTTGTGCCCCTGGAAGAAACTAATTAAACCCAAAGCTTATAACCGTTAAAAATGGTGATCGAGTTAATTACCTGCAAGCCTCTCGTGCTGAGCTGTTTGACGGCGACGTCAATCCGTTTGTTGGAATCCTGTTGAGATTCGATCACGACGCTGCCTCTGTACACGCACCCGAACCCACCTTCTCCCAGCATCGCCGACCGGCTGAAATTCTTGGTCGCCGTCTTCAGCTCCGCCAGCGTGAACTCCCTGAGCTCCTTGTTTCGCCGCCGGCACGACGACAGGCTCGGGAACACCGAGATCCTGGACGGGGATTCCTCGGCGGCGGCGGCGCTAACGTCGGACGACACATTGTTCTGGGAATTGAACTCGGAGGAGCCGGCGGACTTCCTCAGCTCCGGATCCGTCGAAGTGGAGGCGGACGACCGGACGGAAACGCTAGACTTGGTCGTCTTCCGGCCGCCGTCGTCGGAGCTGGAGAACCGGAAACACCTCATTCTTGCCGGCCCACAGATCAGAGAGGGAAAAAGATGGAGTTCTCAAGAAGAATTCATCGTGTTTTCTGCATGACCCATGAGGGAAGTCAATGGGTGGCAGCTGGATTTCAGCTTACCAACCAAATACCCGTCAAGCTTATAATATGTAGGGATTTGAGTAACCCCACTAAATTAATCCAATAGTTGAATGAATGATTATAAAATTTTAAAAGTTTAATCTCTTTTCTAGTCTGATATGTTTAGTTACTGAGGCTCAAACTCACAACCTTGTATATGAGAGTTCGAGTGGCACAAAGTGCTTAGCAAAAGAATAATATTATAAAATTAAGAGAAAATGGTTAAATAGGTCATCAAATTTTATCTGAAAAGTCAATTAGTCCCTAAACTTGCACCTAAAATTTTTAAAGCTACAAGTACTATACACCTATCAACAATTCATTTTGATACAATGAAATCCAAAAATCGGTTAATAACTTGCTATCACAAGTCATTAGGGAGCTGACCACTATCCGACATAATTTCAAACAAAAAAGTGACCGACGACCGGTTGCCGGTGACGAAGGTCTCCTTCTCCAGTGAGAAGGAGACCCAAATCTGGGTTGCTCCTTCTTCGTGACCAGGGACTGCCGATCAGTTGCCGATCACTTTTTTGCCTAAACTTTTGCCGGAGGGTGATCGGGTCCCTTATGACCCGTGATAACAAGTCATTGATCAGTTTTTGGATTTCATTGCACCAAAATGAATTACTGATGAGTGTAATTGAACATTTATAGAAATTTAGAGGCTAATTAACATTTTTCAAGGATCTATTTGATCATTTTCCATACAATTAATTATATGATGTAATTCATTACAAATTATTTGTTTTTAGGTGAGTGATGGGTACGTGACCATGTATTAAAAAAAAAAAAAACAATTGTTAAACATATTGTGCTGTCAACTTGGGGATATACTATACAGGGGGAGAGTCAAACATTTCTTAATTAGTTGGTTGGTTAGAGAAACAGCAGAGATTGACAACGAGAAGGATGATTATTGGCAATGTGTTGTTATCACATATGTGTAGTTCACGCGGCTAAATTAGAAGCACCCACGACGTTCTACCTTGATTTATGTAACGACACACCCACACACACGTTTCAATGGTTTTATACACGGACTCAAATAAATATTAGGTATCATGTTAATTTAATACGTCATATTTAGTAATTAGGTGTAGTGGATATCTACTCGAATTTATTTAATGTGAATCAACTTTTTGTTGAGTAATATCGAGGAGTCTAGGATAT